AAAATTGGGATAATTGAGTTATGGTCATTCAACTTCTACTAAATTTTACTTAAAGCCCCCAAACTTTAAATTCACTCAATTTAATCCTTAAAATTATAAACTAAAGGACACTAATTTTTAAATTATTTACTAAAGTATGTGGGGTGTTACATCCTTCCCACCTTAAAAGGATTTGGCCCACCAAATCATTTAGCTTACCAAAATAGATTTGGATACTGCCTCCTTATCTGATTTTCAAGTTCCCATGTAGCTTCATTCTCAGAATGATGCCGCCACAACACTTTCACTAAGGACACAATCTTGTTCCTCAAAACTTTTTATTTCCTATCCAAAATCTGTGTTGGCTGTTCGGTGTAACTCAAATCTTCCTTCAACTCTAATGGTTCATAGTTTATGACATGTGAAGGATTCGGCTCATACTTCCTCAAAACCAACACATGAAATACATTATGCACATTTGACAATTCTGGAGGCAATGCAATTCTATAAGCCACTTCACCTACCCTTTCAAGAATCTCAAACGGGCCAATGTACCTCGGACTGAGTTTTCCTTTCAAACCAAACCGATACACTCCTTTAGTTGGTGACACCTTCAAAAATACATGATCTCCAACTTCAAATTCCAAAGGTCTCCTTCTATTATCGGCGTAACTCTTTTGTCTGTCTTGAGCCACTTTGAGCCTCTGCTGAATTAATTTCACCTTTTCTGTTGTTTGCTGCACCAAATCAGGCCCCATTACCCTTCCATAGCCAACTTCTGCCTAACAAATTGGAGTTCTACATCTTCTGCCATAAAGAGCCTCATAAGGTGCCATTTTGATACTGGAATGATAGCTATTATTATAAGCAAACTCTGCCAATGGAAGATGATCATCCCAACTCTCAGGCAAATCTAATGCACAAGCTCTTAGCATGTCTTCAAGCACTTGAATAGTCCTCTCAGACTGCCCATCGGTTTGTGGGTGGTATGCTGTGCTTAATTTCAATTGAGTTCCCATGGCTTTCTGAAAAGATCTCCAAAATCTTGCAGTAAACCTGGGATCTCTGTCTGATACAATGCTCACTGGGACCCCATGGAGTTTAACAAGCTCCTGAACATACAGCTTGGCTAACTTGTCTAATGGGTCTTTTTGTTTTATGACCAAAAAGTGAGCTGACTTTGTTAATCTGTCCACAATCACCCAAATTGCATCAAATTGCCTTCTCGTCTTCGGCAATCCCACAATGAAGTCCATTGAGATAGCTTCCCACTTCCACTCCGGTATAGGCAAAGGTTGAAGTTGCCCTCCTGGCTTCTGGTGTTCTGCTTTTACCACTTGACAAGTCAAGCATTTGGACACATATTTAGCCACATCCTTCTTCATGCTTTTCCGCCAAAATGTATCTTTCAAGTCATGATACATTTAGGTACTCCCAGGATGAAGGGTATAATTGGACTTGTGTGCTTCTTGGAGCAACTCCGTCCTCAACCCTTCATCATATGGAACACAAATTCTATCTCCAAGTCTTATGATTCCATCATCCGAAATATGAAGACCCATTTTGGAGCTTTTCCCATTGTCCTTCATCCACTCCATCAATCTTGAATCTTTCTGTTGTGCTTTCTTGATCTTTGACACCAACATAGGTTGAACCATCAGACTAGACACTAGTACATCAGACTTTGGTGGCAAAAACCTGACATTCAAATTCTTGAATTCTTCTAGGAGTTTCCACTCCATCACCATTAAGTTTGCTAAAGTGCCAGTTGATTTTCTGCTGAGTGCATCTGCAACCACATTTCCCTTTCCAGGTTGATAGACAATTTTGCATCTATAGTTATTCAGATACTCCATCCATCTTCTTTGTCTCAAGTTAAGCTCTTTTTGTGAAAATAAATATTTCAAGCTTTGGTGATCAGTGTGCACCTCAAATTCTTCTCCATACAAATAGTGCCTCCACAACTTAAGTGCAAAAATTATGGCAGTGAGTTCTAAATCATGTGTAGGGTAATTCCTCTCATGTGTCTTGAGCTGTCTAGACCCATAAGTTATCACCCGTTCATGTTGCATAAGTACACAACCGAAGCCTTTGTGAGAAGCATCGGTATATACCACAAAATTTCCTCCATTGTCGGGAATAGCATGAATTGGTGCTGTGACCAATCTGTTCTTAAACTCTTGAAAGCTTTGCTCACATTTATCTGTCCATTCAAACTTCTGATTCTTACGAGTAAGTTGTGTTAACGGACCAGAAATCTTTGAATATCCCTCCACAAACCTTCTATAATATCCTGTTAGTCCAAGAAAACTCCGCACTTCGGTGACACTAGTCGGCCTTTCCTACTTCACAACTGCTTCCACTTTACTAGGATCAACTGATATGCCGTCCTTCGAGACAATATGACCCAAAAAGCTAATCTGATTCAGCCAAAATTCACACTTATCAAACTTGGCATATAACTTCTTTTCTCGCAAAATCTGCAATACAATGGTAAGATGCTTCTTGTGGCTCTCTTCATCAGGAGAAAAGATAAGAATGTCATCAATGAAGACAATGACAAACTTATCTAAGTACAGTTGAAAGATCATGTTCATAAGATCCATAAAAGCTGCAGGGGCATTGATTAAACCAAATGGCATTACCAGGAACTCGTAGTGCCCATATCTGCTCATAAAAGCAGTCTTCATCACATCCTCGGGTTTAACCTTTAGTTGATAATAACGCGATCTAAGATCGATTTTGGAAAAGATACGAGCCCCTTGTAACTAATCAAACAAATCATCAATCCTTGGCAAAGGATATTTATTCTTGACAGTGACTTGATTCAACCGTCTATAGTCAATGCACAATCTAAGTAAGCCATCTTTCTTTTTCACAAAAAGAACCGGAGCACCCCAGGGAGAAGTACTGAGTCTAATGAACCCCTTATCAAGAAGCTCTTGCAACTGCTTTTTCAATTCAATTAATTCTACTGAGGCCATTCTATAAGGTTGCTGGGATATTGGTGCAGTACCAGGCACAAGGTGTATAGCAAACTCAATCTCCCTACTTGGAGGTAACCCAGGCAACTCCTTAGGGAAAACATCAGGAAAGTCTTCCACTACTTAAATTCCTTCTACAGACACCGGCTTGTCTTTAGATTCAAAAACATATGCCAGATATCCATAACACTCATGCTGCAACATCTTATCAGCTTGCATGCAAGAAACAAGTAATGGAAATGATCCAACTTTTTCTCCTTCAAATCGAATCACAGGCTGGTTAGGAGTGGAAAAAGTAACCACCTTCTCATAACAATCGATCATGGCATAATGGGTAGACAACCAATCCATACCAAGTATAACATCAAATTCCACTATCCTTAACAAAATCAGATCGGCAAGTAAAACTCTACCCTCTACCATAACTCTATAAGATCTATAAATGGTTTTTGATGTTAAAACCTCCTTAGAAGGAGTATTTACCACAAGCACACAATCAAGGGTTTCAGGCTCCACATGCAAAAATGGCACATACTTAGGTGACACAAATGAGTGGGTAGATCCAGAGTCAATCAACACATGGGCATTCCCAAAAGAGATAGGTATCTTATCTTTTATAACTGTAGGAGTGTTTTGAGCTTCTTGTTTTGTGATGGCAAAAACTCTTCCTTGAACCCTAGGCTTCTTATTATCTTGATCCTTCGATTGCTGACTTGCTCCCTTGAGAACTGGGCAATCTTTGATCAAGTGGTCAGTCTTCCCACACTTGAAACATGCCCCAGTCTGCCAATAACATTCTTTTCCCCCATGGATCTTACCGCATCTCTTATAAAAATCAAAACTTGGTCTGTTGCTTTCGGGGATCTTCCTTTTCCCCCTTTGTTTAGGCTTCTTATTGAAAGGCTGGGTGTTGATAGCCTTTCCCTTGCCCTTTGAGTCATGAGTCTCCATTCTTTGCTCCTCCATATCTTGCTCAATTATTTGAGTCGTGGCCAAGACCTCATCATAAGTCTTTAGCATTTGAGGAACCACCTTGTTCTTAATGGAAGCTTTCAATCCTCTTTGAAACTTCCTTACCTTTCTAACTTCATCATTAACAAGGTGAGAAGCAAACTTCATAAGAGAACTGAATTTAGCTTGATACTCATCAACTGTTATATCATCTTGCTTCAAATTCATGAACTCCAGCTCCTTTCTTTCCAACACAGCTGCAGAAAAATATTTTTGATAGAAGGCCTGAACAAACTTGTCCCATGTAACCTCCTCCCCTCTCTTAGAAAACCCTTCTTGAGCAGCTGTCCACCAATCATCAGCTTCACCTTCTAATGTGAACACTGCTAGCTCCACTTTTTGCCCGTCAGTACATTTCAGGAGCTTGAACATTTTTTCTATTTTCTTAACCCAAGACTCAGCCACATCGGGATCAGGAACTCCCTTAAAGCTAGGCGGGTTCATGTTCTGAAATTGCTTCACTAATGTCAACTGCTCATTTCCTTCTCTATAGTCCACTATTTGTTGTGAATTGCCACCAGTGTTTTGTGGGGCATTATTGTTGTTCTGATGTTGAAGATAATCCCTAAAGATAGAACTCATATCCGTAATGGCCTTTTGCATTATGTCCATTCGGGTATTCACATCATCAGCAGGAGGAGGAGTAGAAGTATTGTCTCCTCGACTCATCTTTCTTCTTCGGTACTGATACAAACAAAGAGTGCAAAACTAATAGTTAGGCAAAATCTAATCCTATGACACTAGACTAACTCATATGATAGATCAATATATTAGCAAAACCTTAGCTCTGATACCAAAAATTATAACACACCTCCTTAGGCACTCTTAGTCCTAAGAGAGTTCGGAAACAAAATTTATAGTAAAGAATTGCAGCGGAAGTAAAACACTTATGATATAAAATATTTCTTCAAAAGAAAGCCTACATTCAGGAAATCAATTTAATAAAAAGAATATCATATATATATTGGAAAATGCCAAAATATTCAAAATTATAAAATAAGCCGAGCTAAGCTCATTTATAACTAATTTAAAGGTTTTATACAGAAATCTAATTTACACAAAAATTATACGAGGTAAATTTTTCTTCAAAGCTTTTAAAAAAAAACAAAAGCTGAGTCATGGTTTTGGTAAGACATCGATTTGCCTCCTTATCGAAAACACGAGGCCTTAGCTTGTACATACAACGAGCATGCGAGTCCCGTGCCAAAAGCTCTTAAACCGAAATGCTGCTACCTTGATCTCTTGATCTGAAATGGGGATGGGGAATTTTATGAGCTCACAGCCCAGTAAGCAATAAGTTTAGGCTATAAACTTGGGTT